AAGATAATTACTACCCTCAAGGACTTTATAATTTAAGGGCAGAGATATGCCAGCAAGAAGTCTACCCAGCCAACTAGATGTTTCCAGGTATCCAGATATCATATGTCATAGAAACCAAAACATCTCATAGAAAGTAAGAGATTTGCATGACTACCTAGGTTTCTTGTTGGTGTCGTGTCATTTTTTGGTGTGGCTTCATATGCAGATTGACAGGTTTCACTTGGCTTGGAATCCTACTGTAGGCATTGAGGCATTTGCTAATTTCAGAAACACCTGAGGCCTCCCTTCCAGGGAGACTCTGTTATGGAATCTCCCATACCAGTATGCATCCCCACCCCTGTGATTGTTAAGGCACCCCTGTAGCTGCCAATTCCCATGCAGTGAGGAGCAGCATTGTACTGGCCCAGCATTATAGCCTGAGGTACTCTTAGGCCCTTTCCCATAGTCTTCTAAACAAACATAAACTGGAATGCATTTTTGCAACATAGTGAATACAGGCTCAAAGTTGAGCCAAATAGTTTTGCTTTTTCTGTAATTTCATATGATAACTATGTTTTTCCAACTGTCCTGTGGGTTCACAGCCAACTCTTGGCAGAACCATACAATTATCTAAGTCTCTTTTTGCTGTACCCAGCCTCTGCTTTCTGTGTGACCTTTTTCCCCACTTTGGGAGTACCCACTTCACCTCCCCCTTCCACCAACAGAAGTCTATTATTTCATAATTTCTCCTTTTCTATTAAAAATGGCTTGTATCAAATATTTACATTTCCACTTGAATCTTAGTTACTGTGTTTACCCTTCCACATTTTAAGCTTTTTTTTTTTGTAATTATGCGGCAACCCGCTGTAACCCTTTACCCATTAAAGTAATTTCAAGTGTACTAGTACAGATAGAACACCTGATAGTAGGGAGAATGTCATCCTCCTGAAATCACGCCATGTGTGGCACACACCTGCTGGCCTTATGCCGGATGAAGTTTAAATGAGATGTTAGCATTCCTTGGTGTCTTTAGGAGAAAGTCCTTCAGTGACCTGCATTGTTACTATATTTATATTGGCCACAGCACTTATTTAAAGTCATGATTTGACCCCTCAGCATCTCCCATTCAAAACTTTCTGTTCAATAGATCCCTTCTGAGCAGGGACTGTTTCATTTCTGTCGCTGTATTTCCAGCACTTAAATATGGTGCCTTTCATACAGTAGATGTTCAATGCGTGCTTGTTGATCAATTCATTAACTGATTACATAGAGTCAGAAGATAGAAGTAGAGAATGAAAAGAGAACCATTTTCTTCTGCACCTGATCAGTGTGGGTGACACTTATAAGTAAGATCAGGCTTCTGTCTCTGAGGTCTTTTTTACCTTCATAACAGGATAAGAGCCTGGCCTTAGTCATATAATTCTCGACTTTGCTTTGTAGAAGTCAGCACACACTCAGTCTCCTCCCCATAGGCCAGTCCAGCCAAGTCATGAAGTATTTACTGGGCTCTCCTTTCCATGGGCTGTAGAGCACCACCATGCCAGGCATTGGATTCATTCAGGTTGTTTTTTATGCTGAGTTCAATTCATAAGCAACTGATAAGTTCTGGCCTTGCAGCAGAAAGAAAACTGTGCTGACTTTACTTCTGCCCCTAGCTGGACTAGACTGAATGAGTGAGTGAATGAATGAATGAAGACACAAAGAGAAATACATGGAAATTAGGGCATGTAAACGTTAGGGTGTTTTTTTTTTAATTCATACGTATTTAGACTATTTTATTTGCTTTTAGACTAACTTTGAGTTAATAAATTTGGAGAGCATGTTATAATTCATAGAATCCTAGAATCATAAAATGTTAATGCTAGAAAAAACCTAAAATGTCACCTGGTTCCACCTACTCATTTAAAAATGAGCAAACAGGCCTAGAGAACTTCCTTCCTGCATAATTGATAATACACTATCATGACATAAGATAATATGAACACTGTTAAAATACACATGAAGAAAAAAAAGACCTTTAAGATTTTAACTTTCAGTTTGCACTTTTGAAAATTAAATTTACCAGTTTTTAATTTGGAGGTATTGTCCTGAGGGAGCAGATAAGCTTTTTTTTTTGTTAAAAAAAAAATAAGTCTATTGCTATAGGCATTCATTTGATGACGTAAAGGAAACCTAAGAGTAAAATCTAAAAGTGCTTGAGCTACCTGTGCAGATTTTGGTTGAGAGAAGATCTGAGCTTCAGGACTTGGCAGGATTGGCATTTATATTACACATTCTGGAAGCAGTTTTTTCTCCTGATGGGACTTGGAGTTTTATGACATCCACCTGAGCATTTACCTACCCAAATCCTGCCTGGCTTTCATGACTATAATCAGGAAAAGGGCCTGGCAGATACCACAGGTTAAGAATACAAAAAGTTAAATCTAAGTGATCCACCATGACAGAGAGGGCCAGACAGATGTGGTAAGTTAAAGTAAGAAGATTCTAGAATCCAAGAAGTCAGAACAATCAGAAGCAGGGTAGGTGGTGAACTCAGATCATGGGGCTATTTGCTTACTACTCTTTTTCACATGACCTGTTCAGTGTAGGTGCTTCTGAGCCTACAGGTATCAAATGTAGCAAAGAAAAAAAAAAAGCGGAGAGACCTATAAGTAAATCCTTTACCCAAATGACTTTGGGCAAATTACTTAACCACTCTGAATCTCAGTTTCCTCAGCTGTAAAATGCAAGTGTGACTCTCAGGTCCTTTCCAACTCTTAGATGTAAAAATAAGGTAATTTCCCTTTCTTTTTTTCCAATTGAGAGAATATCCTTTTGGGGGGTTGAATCCATTATTATATTAAAAATTGATTTATATGAGTTATTGAGGGGGATTTTGAAGAGAAGGACCATTATTTCCAAAGACGATGAGTCAGTCAGTGGCCCTGGCCACAAACAAGGGAACTGGGAAGAGAAAAAAGAGGGGAACCATGGAAATAAGCTGGATTGCAGTTGTACACAATGGATGGGTTATTTTTTTCCCCCATTGTCCCTGGCTTTGCCAGAAAGTTGCCATCTATGCGTTGTTTTCATAGCTTCTCCCCTGCCCCTTTGCTTCCAGACGTGCTACAGATTAAAGTCGGACATGCCAGAGATAACTAACAATTATGCATTCATGACACATGGCATTTCAATTTTGAAGGTTTCTCCTGTGCCCAAATAATGTGCAGTCAGTAGAATCCACGTGGTTTATTTTTTTGTTTCGATGATAACTGATCTAATTTGGTCTCGCACTCGGCTCTCCTGGTGATTGACAAAAAAGGTGAGAGAGAGCTTGAACTTTTTTTGAAAAAAAAATCTAGGTCCCATTAGAATCATTACAGCAGAGACCTTAGAATTCATCCAGTGTACCCATTTTACAGATGAAGAAACTGAGGCTCAGCGAAATGACCCATCTTCTAGCTAATTTTTAGAGCCAGGGCCAGAACCTTCCTGACCAAAGCTTTTTCCAGAGTATCAGAGTAGCATACGGAACTGAGAGCCAGTAGACCTAAGTTCAAATTCAGTCTCCCCACTGTTTTTAGCTGTGTGACCACGGGCAAGTCACTTGGTTTCTGAGCCTCAGTTTCCTTGTCAGCAAAATGGATAAGAATACTTGCCACTACCTATTTACCTCACAGAGTCTGAGTGGGAGAAAGCACTTTGCAAACCTTAAAGCATTATATAAATGGGAGTCAATATTAGTATTCTGGTGAAGGTTTAAAGTCAGCTTGACAAGTGGAAAAAGCATCCAGGGATTTCTTGCAAACATCCTCTTTTTTTTTTAAGTCAATCTTCTCTTGCCTATCATTATTATTATTATGCATTTTAGTGAGGCAAGTGGGGTTAAGTGACTTGCCCAGGGTCAAGTGTCTGAGGTCAGATTTGAACCCAGGACCTCCTGACTCCAAGGCCAGAGCTTTATCCCCTATGCCACCTAGCAGCCCCTTAAAGTCTGTCTTCTCAAAGCACACCATATGCAGGCCAGGAAGATTTCCTAAAGTCTGGGGCACTGGGAAATTATGCATTTACTGCAGATGCCAGTTCAATTCATGGGGCAACCCTGTGTCCCTTCATTGCCTCCATTCCTTCATTGACTGGATGCCCAGCAATTTCCAAATCAGAAATCAGTTACTTATTTTCTTACTTCCTCAAGAAGCAGCCCTCCTGTTCCATCCCAGGGGAGACCTAGAATGCTTGAATCAAAATAGTTATGTGATGTCATGTCATAATGGGAATGTGCTCCAGCCAGTGGGTGCCAAGAATTGTCTCTACAGGGTGGTTTCCTTTTACAGTCTTTTTAAAGAGACATCATGCCCAACTGCACATGACAGTTCTCTACAAGAGGGCTTGGCCTGCCTTTGCCTATTTAGTCTTTACCCTCCCCTCCTTAAAAAAAATCCTGGAGCTTATCATTGAGTTCCTGACCTTCCCTACATAAACAAATCTACTGGGTGAGATTCGGCTTGAGGTCCTGGCAGCTTTTTACCTACTTAAGGACAAGACTGGCTGCTTGAGACAGTGAGGGCTGCAGCTGCTGCTGCTGTTACTGCGCAGACAGCAGAACCAGTGGGCATTTCAAACTGTTCTTGCCCTCTGCAGACTTCAGGCAGTACAGTAAGAGCTAGACCTGGGATTGGCCTGTGTAGATACCTTGGCTGCTGGCTCCGATTTGCTTTCCCAACCCCCTTTCTTTCTGGGGTTGGTCTAAAAAGCCCCTTTTGTGGACCCTTCAGAATTTGACAGGTTGTCCCTTGAGCGGGGGAAACCTAAGAGGTGTGTGTGTGCGCGTGAGAGAGAGGGGGGATCTGTTGCTTTTCCTCGCTGCTCCTCCACGTGCCCAGGGTCAGCCCCCTGGGCAGCTCTAGGCTCTTACCACTTTTTCCAGCACTGGATATGATCTCAGGCTGCCGGTGCTCCGGTACCCGGGGCAGCTCATGAAGCGTTTTGGCAGCCTCAGGGGGAGCAAGAAACGCAAGGACCAGAACCGAAGTACAGAGAGGCGCCAGTCGGAACCCCATGGCCTTTTCGGTAGGAAATCATTCCATTCCCCAGTCCTGGATGCTCTGTGGTAGGCAACTAGAAATAAACACTGAGGTTCATGCATGTGCATAAGCCTACTGAATAACCTCTACTTACTCTATTACTCTTAGAGGTTTTTAATTAGGGAGTCCTCAGATGAACAGTTTGGTGGAGTATCTCTCTGTCTGTGACGATCAGGGTACACTCAAGATGAACAGTGTCTAAAATGACTTGTTTCTGAAGTGATTTCATTCCCCCTGCCCACATAGTCCAGGAAGAATCTGTCACAGTACTTGGTGGATACAGATTTCTAGTCTTTATTTTCCCCCTTGACATTCTTTTAGAAGAAAACACCAGCTTGGGGGTTGGGGATGGAGTTTTAATGAATAACCTGGATTTGATGTTTTAGCTGTTGTTTTGGTTTTTTAAAAGGTATATGTGTGTGACGTGGATAAAGATAATCCATGTTTTAGGATCTCATTTGGTAACCAAATTGAGAAAGAATGAATCCTGAAGTATTGGGGGGCAAGGAGGAGGGGAGGAGGAAGACAGGAGTAAACCAGAGACGAAGCAGAACAAGGCTTAAAATCTGTTCAACTAACAATATGCAAATTACAGCCCCTTGGTTTAGAGGTAGTTTTGATTTTATTTTCTATCAGTATCTGAGGAAATTGAATGAAAGAATGTAACGTATTTATTTAGTGCTTACCATGTGCTAAGCTTTAGAGGTACAAATAAAAAAGTGCATTCCTTGCCCTCAAGGAGCTTGCATTCTAATAGGGAAAGACAATCCATATGGGGGAGTGGTAGCTGGGAAATGGTGAGTGGATTCTTAGGGGATTCAATTAGCGTGTCACCTCCAGAAGCATTTGGGGTATCTGTTTGATTTGGGCACATTCTCAGCGGCAGGGCACATGGAAGAAAGATAGCTGGGATGGATATTTGTATGGGATGTGAATGTGAGTTTATACCTACTTACCAATTAAGACAGTTTGGCTTCAGGGTGGCAGGGGTTTTTTTTCTTTTAAATAGTATTTCATTTTTTTCCAATTGTATGTAAAGACAATTTTTAACATTCATTTTTTAGTAAAAATTTGAGTTCCAAATTTTCTCCCTTTTCCCTAGGATGGTAAACAATTTGATATAGGTTATATATGTGCAATCATGTAAAACATAATTCTATGTTAGTTGTATTGTAAAAGAAGAAACAGAACAAGAGAGGGAAAAAAACTATGAAAAAATAGTGAAAATAGTATGCTTCGATCTGCATTCAGACTCCATCGGTTCTTTCTCTGGATGTGGATAGATAGTATTTTCTATCATGAGTCTTTGGAATTGTCTTGGATCATTGTATTGCTGAGGAGAGCTAAGTCTATCCTAGTTGATCATTGCACAGTGTTGCTGTTACTGTGTACAATATGCCATGCTGCATATCTCCTTGAGGGACTTATTTCAATTGGTTATAGAGATAGTTTGAGAGAGAAATGGTGGAGCTCAGTGGAGATCCACCCTTCACTCGGGGGATATCTCTAGAGTTGCAAAGAATATCAGAGGGCTGGCTTCCCATACCAGTGCAAGGTTACAAGGGCTTCAGTCCACTATTTAAAAGTTTCCACCTTTCAAAGAGAAACCCTTTGTAAACCTTAAAGTTCTGGGACAGTGAAAAGAGCCCTGTGTCTGAAGTCAGAAGACTTGGGTTCAGATCACCTTTCTAAATGTACTGTCTCTGTGACTCTGGGCAAATCACTTGACTTCCACACATTTCAGTTTCCTTGTCTGTAAAGGAAGGGGGTAAACTACATGGTCACTAAGGTCCTTTCCAGCTTGAGATCTAGAACTATGAACTTATTATTATATGTTATGGGCAATCAAGAGAGAGATAGTATTGTGTAGAGTTATTTGTATAATATATAATTATACTACATTATAATTATATATTATTATATTATATAGAGTTATTATATGAGATCTCTATATAGATCTGTTATATCAAGCGCCACAGAAAAAGTTGGAACACTAGACTGGAAACTCCACGAGTGCAGGGGAATGTTTCTTTTCTCACCTTTACATCTTACCAGACCCTAGCACAGTGCTCTGTCCATAGTAGGTGATTAATGCATCTTTGTTGAGTGAATGAATAAATATGTGTTTTCCCAATAGGGTCAAATTTAAACTTGCTTTTTGCTTGGAAGGTACAAAATATGGGAAACTTGGTGAGACCATTTTTAGTCTATACTATTCCATGAACTCTGATGAGTAATTGCCCTGTTAGATTTCTTCTCTATTTGTCAGAAAGTTTAAAATTGGGTTATTTCTTTGCTTACAAAGACCCCCATATAAAAGTCATATTTACATCCTTACCTAGTGTTGGAAGTACCCATACTCAAAGGAAAATCAAGACTCCTGGGACCCTTCTCTGGTGTCCTCAGGGGAGTCAAAGGCTCAGTAACTTGCTACCACAGATTTGGCTACCTTGAAAGAGTTAAAGTCTAGAACTGGAGCTCCAGAGCTTTTGGTAGCATCACCTATGATGTCGTAGGTCCTCTTCAAAAAAGAAGGATGGACAATAGCAGCAGCAGCAGCAGCATCTGGGAGAGTCAGCAGGAGCCAAGACTGAGAACTGAACCTGAATGCCCGCCCTACCTCTGATATTTAGTTATCCCACTGATATTGGGCACATCATTTAATTTCTCTGGGTGGGTCTGATTCCTCATCTATAACATGAGGAGGGGGTTGTACTAGATAGCCTCTGAGGTTTCGATCTATGATTACATCTCATCCAAGTACCCTTATTTTTTTTTTTCCTCTAGAAAGTGTTTTTCGTGGTAAAAAGGTGGTTATTTCCCAAGCCCTCTGTTCTCTCAGGGCTATACTCTCAGTAACTTTTCAGTGTGCCCCTGTGGTTAAATTCCTGCCCAGAAGAATTTAATCTTTGGCCTTACTTACCCCTTAGAACTGCCTCCAGTAGGATGAGAACATCTGTCTTTGGTCCGTCACATTCATCTATTCAGCCTTCTTCATCCTTTGTTTTGGACCCATCAGGAATGGTTTATATTACCCCTCTCGCCCTTTCTCCCTCTTGTATCTTAATCCTAGGTAGTGGGGAAAAAACAAACAACCAACATGATCCTTTGAATCTATAGCATATACAGTCACCAGGCTAATGGAGGAAAAAGCGGTATGGAAAACCCTAAATGACATAACTCCCCCATGGTTGGTTTTGGAATCCTCTTACATTTGAATATAGAGGTATTCTATTCTGAGAATTTACGATACTTTAAACGATGTGATTAAAATCATCTTTGAATGGTCCTTCTCATTAGAAGCTTCCCCTTCTTGCTATTTCTCAGTTTCTCTCTTGTACCCCTTTACATGGCTGGAATGAATCAGATGACCTTCGATACAGATCCAAAACATGAGCCCAAAGCAGACCTAGCTAAAGTTGCTGGTCTACACCTTCCTTAGGGTAGTAGGTAGACAGACAGGTCATGATTTTGATTTGTAACCCCTTTCTCTGGGTGTTATCTGGGTGAGAGTAAACCGAGATTCTGTTTCTGTCAACAGAGAACTGAAGTAGTCTGTGACAAAAGTGTTACACTTAAAATACACACTTAAAAGAAAGATTAACCAGGGGTAATGTTACTAAGATAGGGTAAATTAGAAAATAAACAAGACCAGTGGGTGGTCTTCTGTCCTTGGAAACTTCTTTGTATTGTTGTTTCTTTGTATTTCCAACAGTACTTACTTGCACGGTGTTTCGTATTTAGTAGGCTTCGACAGATATTTGATGAATTATTTGATGGTTAGTCTCCTGGCTGTCTAATCCGTTTCCTCTGATATCCACTTGAATTTTTCTAGGTAGATGTAAATGTAAAATGTTGTTAATTTTTTAAAAAATTTCTGTCAAGAAGAAGGAGAAAGGTATTCTTCCTTGACCACAGCCGCTGCCAGAGATCAGCCAAGGAGCTAGGAACCAGATCTATTGATTCCTGATCTTTGACTCTCTTTCAGACTTGGTTCTCCCTTCTGTCTGGTGGAGCTACATCAGAGTGGTGCTGCCATCTGTAACTGCTTGACCACTATTATAATGCTTCCTTTTTTTACCCTAGTACGTCAGTGGTCACTCAGTTTTTTAACTGCCTGTCACAGTAAGTGGCATTCTTTTTTTATTAGAAGACTTTTCAAAATAAGTAAATGTTTATTTCCTTCCTAAAAAAAAACCTTTTCAACAACAACCTTTCACTAAAGCAAGTGCCTCCCTCTGCCCCCCCCCATTTAAGATTGCCTGTGCTTTTTAATCCAAGTAGTGATATGGATATGGCAGGAGAGTGAAGTCAGTCTTTAGTACCCTTCCATCTCTCCTTTCAGTACCCCTCTGCCTGTCACGCTAGATACTCAGAACATCCTCTCTAGGTAGTACTTTATATATAGGACCTAGTTCCTGCTTCCCCCAGTCAGAAATCCTCCACCTTGTGCCTTTTCCCTGAGGCCCTTTCATTCTTAGATGAGACTTGGAATCTCAGGAGAATAGGTTTAGAACTGTAAGGGACCTTGGAAGTCAGCTAGTCTGAAGCCCATGAAGTTGAAGTGAGATGCCTCAGTGGCAGAGCTCGGGATTCAAAGCCGAGTCTTCTAACTCCAAATCCGGCACCCTTTCCACTGTACTGTACTGCTAACCGAACCTTTAATGAGCCAGAATTTTTTTCAGCTTTCTACTCTCAGACAAAATAGGCAGATCACAAGGAAGTAAGTTAATAATAGGAATTAGTAACAAACCACATGGGGATGCCTTGGCTCACTACAAATTCAACCCATCCTCCTACAACATCTGCACTAAGTCCTAAATAATCAGAGTTTGTGTTTTGAAATCAGTGTGTGGAATTTATACACTTAAAGAAAAAAAAAAGCACAGAATGGAGATTCATGGTTTTATATACAATATTATTTTTTGCATCCTGATGTAAATATGGAAATATTGTTTTGTACGTTTAAGTTCAAATTGTTTTAAAATTTTAAATTAAATAATGCATTGTTGGTGGAGTTGTGAAATGATCCAACCATTTTGGAGAGCAATTTGGAACTATGCCCAAAGGCATATAAAAATGTGCATACCCTTTGACCCAGCCATAGCACTTGTAGGGCTGTATCCCAAAGAGATCATACAAATGGGAAAAGGACCCACATGTACAAAAATATTTCTAGCAGCTCTTTTTGTGGTGGCAAAGAATTGGAAATTAAGAGGATGCCCATCAACTGGGGAATGGCTGAACAAGTTGTGGTGTATGAATGTAATGGAATACTATTGTGCTATAAGAAATGATGACTTCAGAAAAACTTGGAAAGACTTGTATGATCTGATGCTGAGTGAAATGAGCAGAACCAGGAGAACATTGTACGTGGTAACAGCCACATAGTGCGATGACTAATATTGATGGATTTAGCTCTACTCAGCAATGCAAGGATCTAAGACATCTCCAAAGGCCTCGTGGTGGAAAATGCTATCCACATCCAAAGAAAGAACTATGGAGTTTGAATGCAGATCGAAGCATGCTATTTGCTATTTTTTTTCTTCTGTTGTGTTTTGTTTCCCCTTTCTGGTAGTTCCTCCTATTGGTTCCAATTCTTACTTACAACATCACTAATGTGCAAATATGTTCAATAGGAATGTATATGTGTAGCATATATCAGATTTCATGCCATCTTGGGGAGGGAGGTGGGGAGGGAGGGGGAGAAAAATTTAAAACTCGAAAGCTTATGGAAGTGATTGTTAATAAATAAAAATAAATTAATTTAAAAAAAATTAAATTAAAAGAATGGGAGTTCATGTTTGGAATAACAGTCCTTAGTCCCTGCAAGATTCTTTGTCAGATAAGGAAAGTTCAATTATCAATTAAACAATGAATTTCTTCTCTGTAAATGAGGGAAAATAGAAAGCAGCTTGGTGCTATATTAGATAGAGTGTTGGGCTTAAAACCAAAAACTAAATTCAAATCCTGTCTCAGATACCACCAGCTCTGTGACTCTGGGCAAGTGACTTCACCTCTCCCAGTCTCAGTTTCTTCATCTGTAAAATTAGAAGGTTGGATTTACTGGTCTCTAAGTTCTTATCCTGTGATTCAGTCATCTATACAATTCCTTCCAGCCCTAAATTTATCATCCTAAATGTTTATTGAGAGCTTGGTAGGCATACAGTTGTGCAACAGTTTCTTTAAGAAGAGCGGGAAACATGGGTCCTGCCCTCAAGGAGCTTACACTCTAGTTGGAAAGAACAAGAGAGACAAATGAAACCATTAAAAAACAGTACCATATGGTATTCAATCAAGTCCTAAATTACGTGAGAGTGTTCTAGTTCACTCTCCCGTAGACTTTATTTATAAATGAGGAAAGTGTAGTGGAACATAGAAAGATTTTCAGCAAGGGCTGAAACAAAATAAATTTTCTGCTCTACCCTTAGTTGATTGAAAGTTGAAATGACAAATCTCCTGTCTTCCCATTTTGTGAACATTATTGTTGGTCAGTATGTTGCAGTATGGACGCTAAGGATCCACGAATGCCTTGCTATATAGAGCAAAGATTAATATCATATCTAGGAAAACTAAATGGCACAGGGTCAGTTTCCCCTCTTGCCCTTTTTGCTTATGCAAAGGCCATCAGAATGGTCTCTGCCAATCTGGTAAGAAATTCATTTTACCTAGAGTTTCTACTCTAGAGGAACAGTAACATTGTGTGAATTGCCAAATGGATTCCCCACCAAACCCAGGGCTTTCCCTGTGATTCTGCATTCTCTGACCAGTTTGCACAGTGACAGACTGTTGTTCAGTTGTTTTCAGTTGTGTCCAATTTTTCGTGATCCTGTTTGGGGTTTTCTTGACAGAGATACTGGAGTGGTTTGCCATTTCCTTCTCCAGCTCATTTTACAGATGAGGAAGCTGAGGCAAACAGGATTCAGTGAGTTGCCCAAAGTCACATATAGCTAGTTAGTGTCTGAAGCTGAATTTGAACACACCAGGTCTTTCTGACTCCAAGCCTGTTGCTCTGTCTGCTGCTTGCCACCTAGGTGCCCACAGTAACAGGTAGGGCACTTTAACTGGATGGCTTTTATCTAATATGAGACTGATATCCTGACTTTTTTAAAGGATTCCTTCTGTTCAGGAACCCCTGAAGGAGAACAGTGGTTCTTTAAGGAGAATAATACTGTTCCTTGGAGACCGTAAAAGGAGTCGCTGGCCCAGAATGCCCCTAGTGAGGGCCAGCAGAGAGGCAATGTGATCTACCATCCTTCCTCTTCAGATTGTCTTTGAAAAGCCAAAACCTTGTTTTAAGAGGCAGTTGGAGCTGTTGAGATTAATAAGTGTGTTGAATTGAGACTGGACTGGATGACATGGAGGCTACAGAAGTAAAGGGTGTCCCGAAAGTCTTAGTGCAGTTTTCAGCCTTAATAGCTTAAACTGTTGGCACTTTGAGGACTGTCTGTATTATATTTGACCCCTGCTTGCGAGGAGTTTCAGTTCAATTGGGGACATAAGACTTAAATATGAAACAATTATCATAAAATAGTTCCCAATGAAGTGGTAAATATTGTAATAATAATAATAGCTTTACATAGTATGTTAAGGCTTGCAAAGACTTTTCCCATATTATCTCACTGGTGCTTCACAGTAAACCTGGGAGGTTGACACTACAGGCATTATTATCCTTATTTGTCAGAAGAGGAACCAGAGAGATTGAGTGACTTGTCCATGGTCACCTAGGTAGAAAAGTTTTGATTGAAACTCGTGTCTTCCTGATTCTTAGGCCCAGCACTCTTTGCACTGTGCCGATATCACCAAGTGTCAAAAAGATTCATTTAGAACAAGTTGTGTTCTTGGAGCTTCATACTGGGGGAAGAAAAATGTGTCCTAGGGCAGTTGAGGAAGGCTTCTTGGACATAGTTTTCGAGTTGGGCTTCAGAGGACTGGCTTTCTGCTCTATCATTCTCATCATTGGGCCTTGCATAAGAAATGAGGAGAAGCAAGGACATTCCAAAAGGGCGTTTGGACAGGGAGGGTGTATGAAGTAGCATGAGTGAAGGTGGAGAGCAAAGACAGTCTGTGAAATGGGACCAAAAGTCCCTACTTGAGAAGTAGAAGCAGTGGGATGGAACAGAGGAGTCTAAAAGGCAGACATTGGAGGAAACAAGTTGAGAAGTGTCCAAGATTACACAGCAACTAAATGTCTTCTTGGTGTTCTCACACCCTGATGCCATATTGTCATTTTACTGGATTGAAAGGAGAGAGTAAGTAGCCTCTAAGTTGCAGGCTCTCTGAGTACCTCTGCTGAATTGTTTGTGATCAGGCTAGGTCTATTGAGTAGAATCAAACTGGAAACTAGAATACTTTATCTGATAGGGGTGGAACAATATAGACAGCAATCTGTCCACATCATTCTGATATAGATTAGCTTACTGGCTTAGCTAAATTGGTTGTCTACAGCTGTGTTATCAAACTCAAATAGAACTGGATCCCTGGAGGCTACATATTGATTTAGAAAACCATAAATTAACATTATCTATGTTTGATTATATTTTTATTTATTTTGTTAAACATTTCCTAGTTATAATTCCTTTTGATCTGGTTTGTGCCATACCAAGGGAGTTTTGAAGAGTGGGAATTGGACATCTCTGGCCACGCTGCTCCCATCTTCACCCTTGAAATTTCACTTGATCATTCTGTAGCCTTCCACCCATTTTGGTCATGTAGACCAGGTCTTAAGTAGTGAGAATCAAACTTTTTCTTTGAGTCCTATCATACCTTCTTTCTCTCCCTCTAGCCAAAGTCTGTGGTTTGTCTTATATACAGACACCCAAACAGTACACACCCTTCAACTTCACAAATACCCAGACATTACAGTCATGCACCAATATCCCAGCCCATCCTGCCCTACCCTGCCACCTACCTCATTGTTGACAGATGTTTGGGGGCTTTTCACAGAGTACACCCATGCCTTCTGATGGAGCAAAGAGATGTAAGGAGAACAGTCTATATCCCTTGCTCTAGGAAAGAAATGGGCACCTAAGTAAGCTAGAAGGAGAAGTAGAATGAAGAAATTCAGTTCAATTCTACAAGAATTTCTTTCTCACGTGCAAGATACTGTGGTAGGTGATGGGACAACTGCCTTCAAAGAGCTTACATTCCAGTGGGGAAATACAGCAAGGAAGCCTGCAGGTATATAAATGAAAATGTGATGAAGGGGAGAACATTACCAGCTAGGGAAATCAGCAAAGCCTTCCTATAAAAGGTGCTGACACAGGAAGGAAGGAAAGAAGGAAGAAAGGAAGGAAGGAAGGAAGGAAGGAAGGAAGGAGAAGGAAGGAAGGAAGGAAGGAAGGAAGGAAGGAAGGAAGGAATGGAGGGAAGAAGAAGAAGGAAGGAAAGGAGGGAAAGAGAGAGGGAGAAAAATTGAAGATATGGAAGGATGGCAGGAACACAGTTTATGCCCTGCTCTGAAAGAAAGAGAAGTCAGGGAAGTGATATAATGGAGTCAGAATAGCTGGGATGACCAAGGTCATCCTCCTTTGAAAGGGAGAGAGAAAATTTGCCTGGATTGGAACAGACTGGTAATATAATGTTGCCTGCTGTGATTACTGTAATTCTGGGAGCCTCAGTATGGTAGCCTAGCTGGATGGTGGGGATTTAGTCTTTCTTCAAGATCTTGTTTCTCCCTGGTTTAAGAAATATCACTTGGGGAACCTGTGACGTCCCAGTGGACTCATTTCCCTTCATCTTGGCTTCCCAAAAGATAGAATAACAAAATTATACACTTGGAAGAATGTCAAAACCATCTATTCCAATCTTCTACCTTCCCTCCCCCTCCCCCATTTTACAGGTGATGAAACTGGAGTACCCCTGAAGGAAAGAAACAGAGCTGGGATTCCCAATTTCAGTAGCCTCTCCACTAGAGTACATTGTCATTAGACTTTACTTCCTGAAGGGAGCATTAATTATCCCTCCCTAGTTATCAAGGTAAGATCATGGGAAGTTCTTTTCCCAGCTGTCAGGGTTGTCCTTTTGTAGACATGAAAATGATGCCAGCTGATGTCACCTGGGGCTACTTACTGTTACCACTACAGGGTATTAAATGCTATTTTTTTTTCTTTCAAGGCGGGATGAAGTAAAGCAAGGAAATCCCTTAGAAGAGCACTTACTGGACTTAGCTCATAGGGTTGTTCTGAGAAAAGCTTTATATCAATCAAGCATTTGTTAAGCATCTGCTATAATGTTAGACACTGTGGTAGGTACTGGATACACAAAGACAAGGAACAAGCATAATATTGGGAACAATAACATACATAAATTTAAGGATATACAGAATAATTAAAAATAAACTTAACATAATTTAGGGCTGGGGAAGGCACTTACAGCTGGGAAGTCAGGAAAGACTTCATATGGAAGATGAAGCTAAGTGTTTAAGGAAACCAGTGATTCCAAGAGGCAGAAGTGAGGAAAGAGTACAGATCTGAGAATCATCTGCATAGGGATGAGAATTAAATCCATGTGAGCTGATGAGGTCACCAAGTGAAATAGTTTAGAGAGAAAAGAGGGCCCACAACAGATCCTGAGGGCACGCTCACATTTAGGAGACATGATGTGGATCGTGAACCAGAAAAGGAGACTGAGGAGTGCTCAGACAGGTAGGAGAAAAGCCAAGAGAAAGCAATGTCATGAAAATCTATAGAAGACAGAGATTTCCAGGAGGAAAGACTGATCAGTGGATTCAGATGCTATAGAGAGAGGTCAAGGAGGTGAGGACAGAGAAAAGGCTATCAGATTCAGCAATTAATAGGTCATTGGAAACTTTGCAATTTCGGTTGATTGGTGAGGTTAGAGACCATATTGGAAAGCACTTTATTTCAATAAATTTTAGTTATTAGTATTAACAGTAATCAATAATCATAATAACAGTCTGGTGAAAGGATATTTAAGAATACTAAACTGAGCAGAAAGATTTTAAATGTTAGAGATGATGGGAAAAAATAAGGAAAGCCACTGTTGTGGCTAGTTTACCTGCTGTTCTCATAGGGTGGTAAAGATGTCAGGGTACACATACCCTCCCTTGGTTTGTACCCTAGAAGCACCTAATTCAAAGAGAAACAGAGGTGAGTATGGAAGGGATTCTAAGAGGCAGAGATGAGGCAGGAATGTATTTCAGGCATGGGAGACATCCAGGTCAAGGTCAGAGGCCAGAGATGGAGTGCCATGTGTGAGGAACAGCATGTAGGCCTCGGAGGAATCTGGCAGAACCTGCTTACCTCCATGCCATGATAGAAGATCAAAATAGGACTGAAATGGGGAGTGTGTGAGAGATACATGTATGTATTATATATATAAAATAATTTATCATTTAATATTATATGTATTGTCTATGTTATATATAAATACTACATTATATATGTATTATGTATATGTATATATTATAGTAGATGTAATATGTAATTATGTTATATATAATATATATTTTATATATTATAAAATATGTTATATATAATATACTATAATTTTATATATTATACCTAGTATAATACATACTTGACATATATACATTTATATGTGAGAGAGAGAGAGACAGAGAGAGAGAGAGAGAGAGCGCAGGTACATGAATGATTGGTTATCCTGGTTGTACTTTGTACTTAGCCTGGAGAACAATAGTCTAAGAAGTGCAAAAGAAGACTTATTCTGTGTAGCAACAAAAGACAAAACTAAGACCAACAGGTAAAAGCCCAACGAAGACAAAGTCTGCTCATGATGAAAAGAACTTTCGAACACTTAGAACTCTTAAGTAGTAAAGTCATTATGACTGGAGTTATTCAGATAGGTGCTAGGTGATTAGCTGTCTGAAAGATTACATGGAAATACTATGTTTTCTATTTATTCAGCAGATACTGAGCACCCCATCTCATGGTATCAGATCATATATCCCCAGACCCAGGTACCTCCCTTGCCCTGTGCTCCTCTTCCCTTGTCCCTGCTCCCATCATGCCCCTAGTATATCCTCCTTAGCATAAATTAACATACACTTTTTAAAAAGACCTATTACTTTTAGCATGCTGGCCCAAGACGATGTGGTCAAATGGAAAGAGCGCTGGCCCTAGAGTCAGAAATCCTACCTCTGACACTTAGGCAAGTCACTTGAACCTCTGAACTTCAGTATTCTCTGTAAAATGAGTCAGCTGGATTAGAGAGCCTCCTGAGCTTCTTTCTAGCTCTAGCTCTGCGTGTGAATGAAGTGTAAGAAATAGTGACTCTAGAGCTTTAAACATCCCCTTACACATTTTTGCCTCTTTATTTTAATCGCCTGAGAGGTGCCTCTGACTGTTGGGTGCCTCTGTTTTTCTGTGTACTGCCCTAGCATACTGTGATATTGTTGTTTGTCCTTTGTTTTTGGAGAGGACTGATGACATCATTTTCGGGTGATGCCTTGACAGGTGTGAATTGGATTTAAGGGAGGCAGAGTTGTGCAGAGTTGTCTCAGCCTCATTCTTCCCGAGGCATCGAAGGCCGGCGGTCGGGCAAAAGTCAAGACGACTGGCAGTGGCCCAGGATGCAGTGGATGACCGTGGTGTCTTTGTGATGCCTGACCATGCTCTAAGCTGCTTTCATGGCCATTGGAACAAATTGTTCTCTTCCACCCATTCCACTGGGAAAGCCTTCAGGTGCTTGGGGTAGACATCCCCCTAACTCCCTGAAGGGTTTGAGACCTATCAGTTACACCCATCCTGGTTTCGCCCATCTACCGAGATGGTTTACGAGGGTACAGCCACTGCACATGCCACAGCTTCTTGGAGCCACATGTGAGAGTTGGGTGAAGGTGGACACCAAAGGTAGATGAGCAGCCCTTGAAAAGGCTCAGCAAGCCTTGTTAGTCCTCCTGGAACCAAGGGCTAACTGCAGTCTAAGCAGATTCCTTAGGGCCTGAGGACTCAGGGAGGGCAGAGAAGCCTCCCCTCTGATCACAGGATAGGGATATTGGGGCTGGGGAGTGGAATGAGGCAGGAGACCATCACAAAGTTCTGCTTTTGCAAGTTTCTCTTGAAGGTCTGGCACCTAAATTTATGGTGGCCTAGTTTTAAGACCAAGATCATGAGAAGATATTACTAGATAGTGTATCATGATCCACTCATAAGATATAGATTAGAAACTGCCTTTATCTCTGAACTTCTACCCAATCCAACCAGACCACCTTTTTGAGATCTTCTAATTCAAGGGGTTTTTAATCCGAGGGTCCAAGAACTTGCTTGGTTTTTTAAAAAGCATTTTGGTGGGGGCAGCTAGGTGGCTCAGTGGATAGAGCACCAGCCCTGAAGTCAGGAGGACCTGAGTTCAAATCCGGCCTCATACCAAACACTTGACACTTACTAGCTATGTGACCCTGGGCAAGTCACTTTACCCCAATTGCCTAAGAAAAAAAAGTATTTTGGTAAACAATTTCAATATAATTGGTTTCTTTTCTTATCCTATGTGTTTTATTTTAAGCATTTAAAAACATTGCTCCAAGAAGAGGTGCATATTCTTCACCAGGCTGACAAAAGAATCCAGGTCATGAAAAGACAAAAAATTCCTAATTTAATTGGACTTAATCTGTTTTCATTGGGGGACCTCAAATTGACCATACATTCCCTAGGACAGGCTCCTGCCTTAACAAAAAAAAACCATAGTCTAAAGTAGAAGGTTCCTCACTTTTAAGGTCTCCTTCTTATGAATACCTCATGTCTGATGTTCTAACTTCTTGCCTGGTTCCAGACCCACTGGCACACTTTGCCCTAGTGTGGTAATGCAGAGGGGGCACTGAACTTGGACTTAGAAGGCCTCAGTTTATGTCTCAACTCCTGTCACTGAATAGCTATGCTACATTACCAAGTCACTGAAACTTTCTTGGGGCTTAATTTCCTCACCTGTAAAATGGAAACAATAGGCCCCAGACACTTGACACTTAGTAGCTGTGTGGCGCTGGGCAAATCACATAACCCCATTGCATAGCAAAAAACAAAAAAGATAGAAGTAATAATATACTCCTTACCTCATAGGCTTGTTTTAAGGATCACATGTACAGAAGACATTTAATAGCTGTAAAATGTTATATAAATGCAGATTATCATTATCGAGATGGTGATGGTGATGATGATTTGGCCCTTGCTGAGACTTTCTGCATGTACTAAGTCCCAAGTAGCTATAGTATAGCACAACGTCCTAACACGAATGTCTTAGTTATTCACATGGCCAACCTCTATAGATACCCACTGAGAGAGAAACTTAAATTTCCTGTCATTTCTTGAGGAAAA